AAAAAACACTTGAGACAAAAAGAACCACAACAATGAGAGGAGGGGAGAGAGAAGAGTTGAAACAAAACAAAATATGGAACAAAAATCAAAAACCTATAAGCTAGATGAACATGTCATCTCCTTTATACCATCCATGGATTCGAAGATAGTGTTCCATATTTGGATCTGTAGCTCCCTCCTATCCTCTTCATTAAGGCATTGAAAAGTTAGGATGTTGATCTATAAATATTCAAGATAGGGATGATGGTGATGATGAGCCAATGAGGTAAAGCAACCAATGGAAACTAACTCTATAACATGCGTAGCATCCCATGCTCCTTCTAAATAAGCCTATCTATCCTGCCTAGTGATTAACTCATTCAATCACAATGATAATAGAATATCAGGAAAAAAATGAAAAGCATTCAAGTAATTAACTCAAACACGAGCAAGGCTAACCTATCCTAATTGAAAATGAGGCAACAAAGCCTTTATTGTCATCTTCCTAACTACATGTAAAAATGGAGTCTTGTGGCTACCACCAAGGAGAATAATAAAATAAGACTTCTAATGTAATCTTGTGCCAGTGGTTTGTAGTAGATAGTCCTATCATCCTCATCATCCATGAGACAGAGGAAAAGGAGGAGTATGCACGGCAACATTATGGGTATTTAGATGACTGTGATAATTGAATAACTGTCATATCCCCCCATAACCATCCCCTACCATGCACAAACATGAGACGCACACTGGTTGCTCCCTCTTGAAATCCATATACATTGTGGAGTTAAGATTGAATTAGGTATTTAATATAAAACATAAAATATGTTGATTATCAAAATGGTAATTAGGAAATTCAGTATTTAAGATCATTACTAATAGACAAAAATCGTATAACATATAAAATAGGTTCACTATTCTATATATTGAGAAATCAAGTAGTTCCTATTGTTAAAGTTTCATAATAGTAATAAACAAAATATCTCAACTAATATATTTAAGCTTGTATTTCTTTTTTTTATTAAGCTAATCCATAAAAGACATCGATTGTTTTTCTAAAAATTAGTGTTTTATTTTATTTTAAAATAAATTTTAATTCTAAATATCAAAAGTAAAATAATTTTCCATTTGAATTAGATTTTAGAATAATTTATAAACAAAAAATAATAAATATTGTAGGTATAAACAATACTTTAGATTTAAGGCATAGGATACTATTTTCAGTATATTACTAGACTGACCGAAATTAAATTTTAAGCGTAATTAATTTTAAAAAATACTGTCAAATTAATACAAATTTCAAATTTTGAACATATATCATGGCCAGCATATATGCCTTGATTTTTGGGATTAGAGAAGTTATATAATTTTATTTATTTTTCTCAATTTAAAATATTTGCAGAGAAAGGGTGTTTTGGTTTGTACAAAAAATAGAAAAAAATAAGGCTCATTATTGGGGATAACTGCAATAAATTCTGTAACAATTCAGAATTAATTGAATTAATCAAAAAATTATTTAAAAAATAGATTTATCTCCCATGGGTGAAAAATGTGACCTTTTTTTTTTTAAGAAAAAGAATATTTATCTACTCATAGGTGATGCCACGTGTCGTGCTGCTAATAACTCTTGCTTTATACTCTACTTTTATCTATTAATAGATTTAATTAATTTTGCTGCCCACCATGTCACATTTTATTTTTTGTTTAAATATAAGTTTTTTTTATTGAAGGTAATCTATTTGAGATACTGTTAAGTATTAAATATAAACACCTTCCCTAGCGGAGATTATATACAGTCTAATCAAATACTGGTTAAACATTCTAAAAAACCAAATCGCAAGTAGAAGTATTTACAAATCAAAACCATCTGAAAGGATCAAGCACTATATAAACATAAGTCGACCGTGGATTATATACAGTCTAATCATATAGCAACGCGGGTCCTGCAAAATAAAACTATCCATATTTCTTGTAATTCTGATTTCACTGTGATATGCATTGATAGATGCAGGGCTTCCCTCATCTTTAATGACTTGATCAGTAGTGAATTAAAATTCTATTTGAAACCATTTTTCATTATTGGAGATCAACATCAATTGTGGTTGCACTCTACAAAAACCAAAACACACACACACACACAAGATTCACCCAAGCTAAGACACTCAACAAAAAGCGGAGAGAGAGACGTCAGCGAGAGTGCCTCTATATCTCCATGTCCCATATCACCAAAATTGCTCTCAACAAAACACCAAAGTCGTAAATCAACACTTTTCAAACTAAAATAGCTCTCAGCAAACTCATTGCAATATCCTTGGGGAAAGATCAATTGGATGTACCAATTTTTGTGCGTAGAGAGACTTGCACGGAGAAAATCAAAAGAACAGAAATAGGATAAAGAGTTTTACTCACAATATTGACTTTGGGGGGGGTCCAGTTCAACTTTTTCTTTCTTCTCCTCAAGCATGACCCAATCATCCATTATCTCCTTAAACATGCAGCCGACGAGTCCAAGCCACAAGATATTCATTGGGGGGGGGGGGGAACAGAACATGGATGGTATTGTCGCCATTGAGCAACAGGGAGGCAATTACATCAAGAAAGATAGAGACACAATGATCTAGGAAGCTTTGATGCTTGGGTGAAAGAAGAGGGAAACGCCAAGTACGGTGGAATGCTTACGTCAGTGTCGTGCAACCAAACTGCTCTGTTGTTGCAAGATTAGAGCTTCCCGTCGGCTAAACCTCCAAGACAAAGCGAGAAGATTGGAAGCTGATGTCAACCACGCCTTCAAAAGGTGAGAAAAGAGAAGCTTTCTCTGATAGTTTCAAATTGCTGTAAACCATCTTTAGAGTCAAGCAATACAAACCCCTATCGATATAATGCTTGCCACCATCCCTAGTGATATAAGAAGTCCGAGTCCATCCCAAAGTTGGCGTCGGTAAAGAATGATATGCGTGGCACGATCGCTTAAAGGGGAAAAGTACTACACATTGTCTATATTAGAAAGGGTAACTGCTACAATGAAAACATGGGTAACCGTTAGAAGCACTAACATATCGGACTATTAGGAACGTGGGTAGGAACATGGGTAAAAAATGTGGCATTTCCTTTTTTTTTGAAAAAAAGAAACATTTATCTAATCTTAGGTGATGCCATGTGTCATGCTGTCAGTAGCTCTTGCTTTATACTCTACTTTTATATATTAATAGATTAATAGATTATTAAGTTAATTTTGATATTAAATATAAAATCTATTTTTTTATATTTATCAATTTTTTAAATTATTCCTATGATACTTCCTCAACTATAATCAAGTAAGAAAAAGAAAGAGAATATTAAGAAAAATGATTATGATATTTTAAGAAAAACATGTCATATTTCTTATTATTAATCAACTTACCTAACTTTCTTAATCTAATCAATTTAATTAAAAAGAGTATAACACTAATATCTCATTTGGTAAGCTGGAAGAGTTTTTAATGGAATTGAAAATGGAAATAAAAGTGTAAATGATTAAATGACAGTGAAAATGGAAGAGCAAGTGAGATTAAAAGTGTGTTTGGTGTAACATGGAAGTGGAATTTAAATTTTAATTGAAATATATATATTAATAATATGAAAATACGCTTTCAATCATAGAGTTAATTTTAATCCTAAATATAAAACATATTTTCTATATCTATTAATTTTTTCCAAATCACCTTATTGATATTCTTTCAATCATAATCAAGTATGAGAAGAAGAAAAGATAAAATGAAAATGATCAAGGTATTTTACCAAAAAAAATAACATTTTTATTATAATTAATTAACTTATCTAACTTTTTTAATTTAATTAAATTTATTAAATAGATTTTATATTAAGATCAGAAAGAGTGCTAAAATATCCTTACTGGAAAAAAAAATCATTCTCTTCTTGCTAAGGGGACAAAAAAATCCATGCTCGAAAAGAAGCATGCCGCCGGAGGAAACTATTCAGGAATTAGAGCTGTTGTGATAGGATTCTTTCAATTGCAAATCTGATCAAACCACTCTCCTATAGCAATTAATCCACTCAAAACACTCATAACTTGAAGTTAGCTTTCCTTCTTCTCATACTCCACATACGGGTTCCCACAATCCAGCTACGCTGCTGTCAGTGGCGGCTATTAACACAGGATTTAAATAAGAAATCTTGCAGAAAATTAGCATAAGAACCGGAAAAAAAAAATTACAAGGATGGTTGCAGCTATCAAAGCCAAGAACCAAAATCGAAGGAAAAAAAATAATAGCAGAAAATCTGACAAGAGAATACTTCCATTGTCGCAGCATCGAAGCAAAGAACCGCCTCTGTTAGAAATGAAAATGGGCTGCGAATTGTAACAGAAATTTCAGCTTTAAAAAAAAAAAAAAAAAAACTAAGCACCATCGTCTCCGGAGAAGAAGACTCGCAGATCTGGAGAAATCTCTCCCTCTCGATGGTAGAAACCACACTCTTTGGAGAGTCCCGAATGTCGATCTCTCCACTGTCGTTGATGGAAGAAATAGTTGAAGAGGATGAAAGATCGTGAGCACCCAAAACGAAAATCAAACGTTGAAACCGCTGCAATCATCATTGTCACAAGGCCAACCTTGCCTCGTCTTCATCGTCCTCACGAGGTCAGCGTTGTCGAAGGTGGAGGAGGAAGCGAGAAGGGAGAAGATGAGATCGAAGGGGATGCCAGAGGGGGGATACGGTCAATGATAGAGATGGACGCCGGAGGAGGATGGCGTCCGGTTTGAGGGAGAAGGGATGGGCAAATTGGTCAATTGATAAAATAACTAAGAGTACAATGGTCAGAAAATCTCACTCCCACGGAACCCATCTCAGTGCCCCAGTCTGCCTAAGAACCCAGTTCCATCAAATTTGGTGGAACTCAATTCCCCAGAGAACCCATTTCACACATACCAAGCACACAAAATAATAGATTCCACTTCCACTTCTCTCTCCCCAGTTCACTCCCACCAAACGGGGCATCAAATAAAATTAGGTGTCAATAATACTAAAATGACCAACTTGTTTCAATCATAAATAACCATTGACTTGCCCAGAAGAATTACATATAAGTAGACAACAATACAATGATCACAAACATTTCTCAGTTCCCACAGTCACCATGACTCCACTCTAACACAAGAATCTACCTAAAGAATATAATTTCCTTGCTCTTTCCACTTCTCTTTCTGGTTAGTTTTCTTGTTCCCAGTTCCCGGGAGAGAAGTCTGTGAATGGTAGGAAGAAAGCCTTGTTCGAGTTGCAGGCTGTGGCTGAGAAAGACAAATTATGGTCTTTACTTATTTATCTTTGCTGCATCAATCAGCCAAAGCATCATCGTCATCATCTCCACAAAAACATCTCAAAACTAATGAATGATGCTTCGTTCATCATCACTTCATACTTCAGTAGCAACATTGTGTTATTATTGGTCTCACTGTAACTGTTCAGATGGGGTTGTCTTTTTCTCAGCCAGGAATGGTTTGAACATCATCAGCACTCCAAGTGCTTCTATCAGGTTAAGGATGAAGAACACCAAGTGAGAACCTGTGGTTACATTAACCAAAGTTGGCGAGGTTACAGAAAAATTTAGAATCTATAGCAAGTCGTGGTATTTACAAATCGTGAACAGTATAACACGTTTCATATATGCTCCGTGTAATGCACAAAAATCAATATGATTATATAAACAAATGAGATGCATGTTCTGGTTAATGTTGACATTCTTATTCTTAATCATACTAAAGCTTGAATCCATCATAGCCTTATTAGACACTATCTTTGTTCCCACCCTTAATATGATGCAGAATTCAACACAAATAGATTTCACCAATCATACCTGGAAGGAAAGAAGCATTTAACCGCTTCTGGGACCAAGCTAATCTGCATTGATCAAGATTATAATCAGTGAACAGTAGATAGGTTTTGAAATATTATATTACACGTAAACAAGCATGTCAAACTGAGGCATAGCTACAGCATTAGCATGACCTTGGGGACATGCAAATGGATGATACGGAGAACAGGAAAGCTAATATGTAGAGGCTTATGCAGTTAAAATCCTCTGGCAAGTGTACGTTGATAAATGAAATCCTCTAAGCAATCCAGATTGATGACTTTTCACCGTAATATTTTTCTTTAATAAATTAAAAAAATTATGATTTACATAAGTTATTCTAGCTTCAAGCTTGGTAAACTACTGCTACGAACCAAGGATCAAAAATCACAGATCATTGGAAGCCAAAGACAATATGGCCATCCGACATGCAACCATTTGGGTTCAACTTTGTCTGGCAATGCTTTTCACTAAAAATGATAAGTCATGCAAAAAGATTAATTTAAAAAAAAAAAAAAAATTGTACGTGCACTTACATTGCACCACCGCCAGCAGGGCCAACTGATTTGCATATTGACATAGCAGTCATAGCAATACCATTAGCTGCTCCTCTTTGATGTTGATCCTGTTTTTTATCAAATCAACACGCCATATTAGCCCAACTCAATATTGATAATTTCAAAACTTGAAAAGGAAAAATTAGCAATAAAAAAATGAACTGACAGAAAAAGAATTACCACTGCTTTGTTTTGCAGAAGCAACAATCCAGTAATAATGGTTTGCTGGGTCCAGCCAACAACAGAAAAAAATTACAATCAGGTAAGCTCATACTGCATGAAGGAGACGGAGTTTACTGTTTTCAGCATTTAAATAAGTTGAAAGCTTAATTGCATCTTTAGGCCATTTTAGTCTATTTATTATTACAATTTAGCTCAAATTTCAGATAAAGTGAGTCATGTGAGTTAGTGTTATCCACTGCTTTAATGTAATATTCGAAAGAGAAAAAACAGTTTCATTGACACTAGATTGCATTTACTTTCGTTACAAGGGTAATTGCTACTATTCATATTTAACAGAATGAAGATACTTAGAAAAATACTCTCCATTTCAGCTATTCTACTTCACCCCAACCCCTCATTATTACTACTGTGCTTGGTAAGGTTAAAAAATAGACGCACTTACAGAGAGACAATACTTGAGGACAGAAGCACTAGTTATCAATAGATGCAGTGTGAAGCCAGATAACAATGCCATGAAAGGGTAACTTTGCAAGAGAGGTATGGTGATAGCCTGATCACGGCACCCAAAAAACAGTACAGTTAAAATAATGAACACAGGAAACGCAGAATCATAGCACTGTTGCATGAGAGCAAAATCTGACCCCAGAAATGTGAGAAAGTCTAATAGGTCCACAAATTTTCTCCATCGCAGGATAAAGGAAAACTTGGTAAATCAAGAGAACGAAACCTAACAAATTAAGAAAAAGTCAGTATTAATCAGCATAATGGCCAACTAAAAAGACAGATCAATGCATAGAAAACAGACATGTATGTAGTGCTTGCCTATTTTGCTTGCATGAATAATAAGAGTTGATAAATGAACATTCATATAGGAAGTCCAGTCCAGAATAATTTTATCAAACAACTTCAAAAGGTTTCAAAAGATTATGGAGATAATTGTAACTGCTCTTCGACTCCAAACAAGTGGGCATGCCATTATAAGAAAAGGAGAAAAAAAGGCAATACTTGGGGCTAAGCATGCCAGCACACATCGATCTGAGGTTATAAGGCTAAACTAAACGCGGAGAACATGGCTCCAGATAAATGAATGCATAAACGCAAGTCAAAATGGGCAGACCTTAATGCAGTTTTTCATGTTTGCTGTCAAGTTCTCAAATAAAAACTCGACATATGAATATTTCAAAGTGCAGAACTAACTAATTGAAAAACTTAACAGCCTCGACAGTCAAATTATCACAATTTTACTATACAAGACTTGTTACAGAATAAACTTGTGAGGAAGTTAGTATATAACTTCATCATGTAATGCAGTTAAGTTTATGTGATAATTAGAGTTTTTTGCTAAACTCTCGTATAGTATTGACAGCAATTTTTGTATCATTGATCAACTTCCACCTCTATGCCCAGAGGAGGAAAGTGATGAGGGAGACCAAATGTAATGTTTGGTTGTTTTAAGTAATGTTATCCAGTGTTTTAATTCAAAAAGGAAAAAAAAAAGGAAAACACATAATTTACAAATTACAACATTAATCTATGCGCAGAAATTCATAGCCCTTGAAAACACACCTGATATTGAAAGAACATTACCAACGTCATTGGTTGTAAATTTCAAACCCCCCAACCTCAGAGGACTCACAGCCCATAATGAGAAAACCTGCAGAAAATAAAGTAGTGGTAACTCACGACCTAGAAAAAGAAAAACAATGACAAAAACATCACGTTGATCCATGAAAGACATTCAATTTAATACTCCAAGAATGTTCTGTATCACTTTAGTACCTAAGAATATGATTTATTTCAACTCTATGGCATATTTGATTCTTCAAATATTGTATAGTATTTTGGCCACCAAAAAAAATTGTAAAGTATCATTTCAGTATGATACTACTGCTAAATCTGGAAGGATGAAGTAAGACCAATGCCACTTTCACGAACTAAAGTCACACAAAAATTATTAGTGTATGAACTCGATGCTAAAGCATTATTCAAGGATTGAAAAAAAAGAAATACAGGTGTGGATAACTAGAAAGCGAAAGAGAGCCTGAAACAGCACAAAAATAATAGGAAATGTATATAAACTAGTCGTTCATAATAAAGTAGGAAGCATACCTCTTGATAAGCAATATTATGCAGCGCGAAAACACAATAAGCAATAATGGATGACATCAAGGGCCAGTTAAGTAAGAGGTTTTCATCTTTCTGAACTATCTTTTCCATGTTTCTGTTATCGGAAGCTTCTATATCCTGATGGGACTCGCTGCTGTCACAGTGTTTGTGCAATGTTTCCTGCAGCAACACAGATTTTATAAAACATTACTTACATCACCCTAATATCTGAAGGGAGTCTTTATTTGTCAAAAAGAAACAGTCTAAAATATGGTATATCTAATTCTCTCCCCTAAGATAGTATATGTTTAAATCATGTGGAGACCAATAAAATGAATAAAAGATAGAAACGCTAAGACAGAACTCAATGGATTCACCAATTCCCTTGAAAGGAAACAAAATACCAACAATCCTGATATGAATTATATTTTTGAATTGAAGGATAACAGTAGTCTCAAATCATCAAGAGGACAGAGTCATATAAGGCTGACCAAGAAATTTTGGAGGATGTGTTTGAATAGTGAGCTTGTGATAGTTAAGAAAAAAAAAATGTGTTGAGGATTACAGGGTTTGGGCCTGGATTTGCAATACTGTTGGTACTAAATATGATTATCAATTATTGAGGATACGCAGGTTGTTTGGCTACACATACCGGAAGCCACAGGCAGGAAGCTAACACAAAAAGTGCAAAGACCGATATTATTATGCTGGGCAAGGAGTATGGAAACCTGCAGGTCATGTTTTTTCACAAAGGAATGTAAGTACCTGAACAAATAAAGGGAAATGAAAAATACCAAAAAAAAAAAAAAGGGAAGCCAAAATTGCAACACTTCTATTATTATTAATAATAAGTAGGACAAGGGAACTTACTTATCAAAAAATGAACCTTTAGAGAATATATGCGGATATTTCTCTACTGGCTGCAATACAAAATTCCCCAAATTAGCAGACGAACAATTGATGAGTATGCTTATGAGTACGGCTCCACACACACATAGGAATGACAACTTCAATTTTGGAAATAAGTAGAACATGGCATTCAACCTAATAAGGCGGATACTTCAGATCCTGCTAGGTTGGAAGATATTGTTGGTATATAGAAATACGTCTGGTTCAAAGGAGTAATTGTTTATTTGTGCCCGAAGAAATTCTGATATGCTACCCTTGCCTTTATTTCAAAATACAGAGATTCAGGCTATCAGCTGTCCCAATATGGAATGGCAACAAAAGACTTTTAAAATGTAGAATCTAAAGAAATCTTTTTTCTCATTCCGTTCTAGATAGGGCACAAGAGTCCACTGTTTCAAAGTACAGGCATACAAGTCATTTCATCCTCAAATTCATTTATCTATTCAATTTATTTTATTACATTTTGTACACCAAACGACACATAAGACTCTAGATAAAAATAAACACTTAATCTATAAGGAGTTCCACTGATGAAACAAATTATCTTATGACCATGTGCAAATCTCAAAGCCTATTCAAAGCATATAGCTTACTGCACAAAGAAAGTACCTGAGCCAAATAGCCTCCCAGTGCTGGGCCAACAACTAAACCAATGCCCCAAGCTGCACTGACCTGAAAACAGATCACACTAACAAATTACCATGAAGAAAATAGGCTACTGAGAACCAAATGTAGATCAAAGTAGATTAGACTTACAGTTGAGAGTCCTATCGCATGGTATTCTTCCCGAACAATTTCGACAGTATAAGCCTAGTGATAGTGGATGATATGTTGATGGAGGTTACAATCAGATAAGAACAAGTCTTAATAAGAACCCAAAAAAGACAGACTGATGATTAATTACACGAATTCAAACTTCTAGTTGTGCCTCAGCTTGGTCTGTTAAGTTGGGATGGATGTCTCATTTTAAGTCTTCCAAAGAGTATTTACTTTTCAAGATCTCCCTCGCCTTAAACCCATTAACAAATACAAAGTCCATAGGGCATATATATGCCCCCTTATCATTTAAATTTGCTGTGGCAAAGCACTGAAATAGAATGGGGCCCTGCAATGGTATATCTTATAATGACCACTGGGCATTTAGCGATCACATCAACTTTAAATTAAACCATTTCACCCATCTATATGAACTTTTTATGAACAAGCTTTACATAAAAACACTATTGAAGACAAACATTCTTTGAAAATCTAAAAGGAGAAATTAAAACTTTGGTGTACCAAATTGAGCCAAAGTGAACTTTTTAAAGACCAAAATATCAATTCATTCAATTTTAAATAACTACCATCTGGTGTGTCTATAAATGTTACCTTCATCGGTCCAATCAATCCATTTAAGGCCCCAAGAAGAAATCTTGTGGTAACAGCCATCCAAAAACTTGAGCTAAGGCCGAATAGGGTGTTGAACACAATGCTGAAGTTAAATAAGAAGCAGTATCAGTTTTGAAAACCTTATCTTAAGGCTTAGAAGAAACCATCCAAATCAGTGGCAGGCTTGCTTACACTGCAATAATTCCCAAAATTGCAACAGGTTTTCTACCATATCGATCAGCAACCATTCCCCATGGTACAGATGTCAATCCTCTGCCAAACATGAATGCAGATCCTGCAACAAAATTTCATAGGGGATCGGTAATTTAATTTAAAATTTAGAAGTCTATAAATTATGCTCATGTACATCAATGGAATGGAAGGACTAAAAGGAACCTTACCCACATAACCAGCATAGGAACTTATATCTGCCTCTGTTTTTGCAATACCAAAATCTCTAACCTGGAAGTAGTAATAAAGTTGAAGAGTTACCAAAGGTTTTAATGCTTGCGTTATTTCATAACAAATGAGAAAGCGGAAGATAAAACAATAATCTTTCATGTTAAATTGATTAGTCAGACTATTTTTAAGAGAATTGGGATGTGTTGAAGTAATCTCATTAGAAAAAAAGTTTTTTTCTGCTTGCCAAAAATTTTTTTCCTTCTTGTAACAAAGGAAATGAAGGAAAAAGAAGAAAGAGAAGGAAATGTAACTTATAGATAATAAGCTCACTTCATGTTAAAATACTAATGCTTCCATTATGTGTGCTTATAGTTCATTATTTTCTGTGAAAGAAAATATTTCAACTTTAAAACAAGGACCAAATTCAGAAGTTTCTTCAACTATAAACTACAAGATGAAACCAACTTTTTTTAAAAATATATATTTAAGAGGATATAACTGCAAATTGTCACTCAAATTCATTTAATAAAGTGCTCGAGTTAATAAGGAAAATAAAAGGATATCAACCTGAAGAAAATTAATTAAACCAGCTATGTATTAGTTTCAAATCCCATTCTGAATCAAGTGGCAGTCGCTTTCAAACCCAAATGTGCACATTAAAAAAGACTAGTCATTTCCTATTTTCAATAGAAGTATGGTATTGAAATTGATAATATGGAATATCTAAAAAAAAATGCACCAAGAAGAAGGAAACAGTAAAGATAAGTGAAAAATCAAACTCACCATGAAATAAAGGAACGGAAAGAGAGATGATATAGGCAGCGCTGTACAAAGCACAAGAAAGTACAAATAAGACACTTTCCCCAAAAAAAAAGAAACTATCAATGAATCATTCCCCATGTTTGGCTCTTCTCCCCAGAAAAGAAAGAATGACGAACAGTAATTTTGGGTTTTCCAACAAGAATTAGAACAACTAAATACTTCAGCTAGAGCTCCAAGGAGCGCATTGAATTTAAAGAAACAATTTTTTTTTTTTTGCCAGAGAAACAACACTTTACAATCCCAAGATACTTTTAAGGATGATTAATCTTTCTTTCTTTTTTTGGGGGGGGGGGGGTTCCCAAAATTTTCACTGAACAATCGTTACCGGTTGGCTCATTTATCTCCATGCACACCCCTTTCTGTCTAATGCTAAACAAGATATATCAAGTCAAAATTTCGATGGTTTATTTGAAAAGTTCAAACAAAAAAAGGCCCACAACAACAAAAATTAAGTAATGAAAGTTGCGACCCCATCGTACTTCTACTATTCACTATGGGTTGACCGGTTGAATATGCTAACCTCAGCAAATCGAGCTCTCGCATTAATTTCCCAAAACTAATCATTCAAGTACTTTGAAGTTTGAACATAACAAACCCATTAAAAGTTACTCCAAAATGAGAAGAAACTAAAGAAGAAAACTTACAGCTGCACAATGTTATCAACCATATGTTGAGAAGAAGCTTTATAGGTACGCTTTGGGTCATTTCTTTGGCTCGATCCACCTTGCACCCAGGACAGTTCTCATAGTAATGTTTCTTCAGCAACGGCTCTCTATTGCCCTTGTCCTTATTATCGTCACTATTATCGATGTTACTGTAGTTGTCCGCCATGTTTGTTTACCGCAAGATTCTCCTTCCTGATTTACCCAATCAAGTTTCTCTGTTCAGAAAACATAAAACCGAGAAAATAGAAATCAGAATCAGAAACACACACCCAAAATCAGATATCTGGAGAAAATCTTGAGGGTGAGAAATGCAAAAGATGAAGAAATGGAAAATAAAACGAACAAGACGCTACCAGAGAGCATCAGTACACGCGTCATTCAGTAAAACGGCAGTGAGGTGTGGTGGGAAAGAATCGGATACTTCGCGCGGGTTATCTTCGTAATACATGTGGGTGGGGACAAAAAAAAAGCAGAAAGAAATTACGGGAAAAAGGAGATAAGAATTGAAGATGAAGAGAAATAGGTTCAAATTCAAAGATGGTGACTCCATTCAAGCACAAACAGAGGCGTTGTGCCGGCGTCGAGTCGTCACGATCTAACAATCAAACATATACGGTATAAACATATATATACACACACACTTGCTCACGTCCTGAATATAAATATAAACATAGGACTCATTTTGTACAATATAAATTATATTATAAAATAAGATTTTATTTTTAAGATCCTACTATTATCTTTATGTCTGCGCGCATGCAAAGTCGTGACTCGTGAGCTCACCAGAGGCCAAGATCAAGTGACGACTGATGAGCTAGTTTTAAAAGGAAAAGACGTGACTTTATTCTCTTTCCTCCTGTGAGCTCTATTTGGTTAGAGGGTTGTTGAGGGGTGAGAAGGAGATAGGATAAGAGTGTTTGATACTTTGATTGGAAAAAAACCAAAAAGAGAAGATGAAGGAAATTTGCTTCTTAGTACTCTCCTCCTTTCTTTCTGCTCCCCTCCAAAGTTGTTGAGGGGAGGAGAGAGAAGAGAACGAGATAAGTGTATTTGAAATAAAAAAGAGGGAGGAAAGAAATTTATCTTAGTGCTTTCTTTTTTTCTTTCTACTCCTCTCAAAATTTGAGATTTTTTAGAGGAGAAAAAAATATTATATTTAATATTAACTAAACTACTCATATTAACTTTTTAATATTTCAAACTTGCCCCTCTTATTAAAAATCCTTTTCTCCCTTCTTTCTTTTTCAGGGTGACACCCCAAACCATGGTTTGGGGACCCAAACCATGGTTTGGGAAATAGATCACCCAAACACTCCCTCCAAAAACCAAAACCATGGTTTTGGGTCAAAACCATGGTTTTGGAAAAAGCAAAAAAATTTTGCTTTTGGAGAAAAAAGGGAGAGTGTGAGAGCCTATATGATATGTATCTTGTTATTTTTTTTATAAACATATTTTTTGATAAACATATTTAATCTTATATTTTATAAATATATATACACATTAATTATTTATTAATTATATTATCTTATGTATTATTAATTATGTTGGTAAAAAATATATTATTAACAATTTTATTCCTTCAAATTAAAATATATCATAAAATCTATTTTTTCTATAATTATCATATTAACTTATGTCTTTTTTTTAGTAATTTGTATATATAAAAAGTGCTTCTGATAACAACTATCCAAACACTCTTACTTCTCAGAATCACTTTTTTACAAAATCTATTCTTCACAGAATCTATTCTCCCCAGAATCTATTCTCCAGAATCACTTTTCCAAACCACGGTTTGGTTTCATCCAAACACACTCTTATTATACTATAAGGGAGGTTACCGACTTACCACTTAGTTGTTTGAAAAGTCAAAGTTTTTGTCATCATCAGTGTGCCTGCAAACTTAATTTATATATATAGGCTTCACACGCTCTATGCTTGTTTTTTATTAAGTTCCAAATTCCAACTTTGTTGTGTTGATATAATAGTATATCATAGCTTATATTTTCCACAAATAAAAAACGAATAGGAAGAAAATACTCAAATTGAGAATAATTTTAATCAGTTTTTGAAAATGAAACTAATAAAAATATTATGTATTGAGCAATTAAATTATTTTTCATATTCACCGATTGAACTAAATTGAGCAAGCTATGAACAGTGAAGTTGGCTCTAACTTTGGAAAAGTCTGGGTCTATTGCTAAATTGTTATAATAATATTAAGAGTTAATTAAGCAGATAAGATATGCGGAATATAAAATTGCAGGCCTTTGTCCCATGTGGGTAGCAAAGCTGCACTCTTTTCTTTATACGTGCTTTACTTATAGAACTTTGTTTGCAACTTCTTTATTTTTATTAACTAATTATTTTTAGTTTTGTCATAATTTTTTATCACATATAAGTGAGGTAATTGGTTTTTTTAAATTGATTAAGAAATAATAATTTTGATATAAATACTGTAATAAAAAAATAAAATAATCTAGTATATGTCAATTCATAATTACCTTCCTTCCTCTTTCCTTATGAACCAAATAAGAAATCTCCTCTCTCTTCTCCTCTCCTCCAACCAAACAAAACTCACCACCTTCCTTCCTCTCCTTTCCCCTTCCTTTAATTAACCCCCCTTCCTTTCCCCAGCGTTGAACCAAACAAAGTCTAAAGTAATGTCTTGAATGGACTCCTATCTCTTGATATGAAAAAATATATTAATAGACTAAATTTATAAAATATTTTTAGTTTCTTAATTTCTAATATTATTAACTCAACAAATTTAAAGTAACAATCTTACAATTCAAAACTCACAAACTATGCTCTATGTTTGATATAATCATTTTATATATTTTGAAATTTAAATATATTTTGGTAGCATTTAATTATAGAGCCAAGCATTTTTCTGTTAAATGAAATTGATGATGTTATGATTAAGAGATTAAAAAAATACTTTTTCAATTCAAGAGACTAAGCTGAAATTTCATGTAAATTAAAAGAACTAAACTTGTACTTTACTTAATAAAAATACCAAAAATTTATATTTAAAGTAATTTTTTTATTTTCATTCTCTATTCAATGACACCATATTTTAAACTTGAACTATTTTTTTTATATTTTAAGTAAGAGTATTTTTTAAATAAATATTAATTATACTTAAAAATTTGTGTTGAAATTTATATTTGGAGATAAATTAAAAATTAAAAAAACACTTATAAATAAGCATAGAGAAAGTAACTTGAAATTTATTTTCATTCCCTATTCAATGACACTGGATGCATAAGTACATAAGTCTCAGATTGTGCAACCAATATGATTCACATTGAAGTAGTTAGTGATCATTCCTCAATTTAGCAATCATTATATGATTAGTAAAAGCCTCCATAAATAACTAGATAAAAGCTTATGAGAACAAAATTTCAGTTTTAATATTAAGATGATTGATTTTATATATTTTTTGCACATAAATACATTAAACCAATAATGTATTGCAAATTCCCCCATTATCTCAGGAGGCAAACTTTTTTATTTTTTGGTTTAAGATCCAATTACTCTGATGACAACATTTTGAAATATCGATAAAGAAAATATTTCAAAATTTTATATCCGTAAAATTTTTTTAAAAAAATTATATGGATACACGGATATATTTAAGATTTTGACATTTTTATTTAAGATCTAATGAGCTTGTTAGGATTTCATTTTGTTTAAATTTAAATGCATGATTTTTTGCCCATTTTTTACATATAAACTAAGATAATATTTAAATTTCAATTAGTTCACCTTTTTTTTTTTTCCCATTACCTCGGTTCAACTGATAACCACTTTTTCGCGGTCCTTTTTTTCCCCCCAAAATTTATAGAGAAAAGGAACGAGAAGGAGACGCGTGAACATATCCGGAAGAAGGAGGGCGTGAAGAAGCAGCCTGAAGAGGGTACTGGGGAGTGGGGAATACGAATCAGATTCCCATACCCATGAGTCGGATAGACCACAAGCATTCTTATATAAATAAATAAACAAAATACGAATACCATTTTGTTCTTGGTATTTTCAGAATTATCATCACCACAACAACGACCCATACCAAAGAGAAGATAGGGAAAAAAAAAAGTTAGTATGACTTCCAAATTCATTGTATTTACTATTTACACCTCCTGATCAGATCTGAAGAGTCTAAATATAATTTCTTTTCTATTTTTATTTTATTATAATTATTTTAATGAGTAAATTATCACTTTTTGAAGAAAAAATTCAAAAAAGTGATTAATTAAAATTTTTAATCCTAATCCATTCAAAGCACTAGGTGGTCATTGTGATGGGACCCAAACTGGGTCCCCACCTCCCCTAGCCCTTGTTTGTTGGCAGCATTCACATTCACCTTCCATTATCATGTTTGTGAACCACCAGGAATGAATTTCATCATCCTCGAGCTAGTGGCCAGAAATTCATAGGTTATATAATTCACTAAGAACTTAGTGTGAGTCAATCATAATCCCCAAAGTGTTTACTATCACTTGAATTTATGTTACTTATTCAGTTGCTATCGCTCATTACATATTCCACTCAGCATAGAAATTACTGGGAAAAAGTATTCGCCTTATTATATAAAATAAGTTACCAAGCAAAGCAATAATTAAATAAAAAATATGAATTGGGGAAAAAAATTGCAAAGTCATCAACCTCTCGTTTATCACTGAAAGGAATCAGCAAACAGAAAAATCATGATTAAAAACAATGAAACAAGTTTAAGGATTCATGGAGACGATGGATATGTTTAGATTGACGTTGGACAAAACTGACTTATAACCCAATAGACTTTTGTAACTAAAATTAAGATAAAAATCAGTTAAGGTATATTTGAATAGGTGCTTTTAAAAAGTTAGTTGAAAAAATTAAAAGTTGTTTAGATAATTAATAAAAAAATTAGTTTAGTTGTAAATTGACTGAAAAGGACATAGACTTTATTGAATAGTAGTGTTTGAAATTTTATGTTTTTAATGTGATAATAGTTTAAAAAAATACATAAAATTATTATGATAAAATATAAATAGTTTATTTGTGAAATTATAAAATAAAAATATTTGTTACGGAGAAAAATTTGAAAACACAATGTAGATAATTAATTAAATATATATAATAGACAAACATGAATATAAATTAAAATTCATTTGGTCTAAATAAAGACTCATTATGCTAACAAAAGAGATGAGAAAGAGGGGAAAATGCAAGGATAAATATGAGATGCTTATTTTTAATCATCACCATTTGAAACTGCAGTTTAAAAAGTCAGATTTTTCTCAGTTGAGTTCAATTGAGATT